CCTCTGGCTTCCGAGAAGTACACTCTTTGTTATTATTTATAATAACAAGAACTTAGAATTGTCCCCAAAGCCCATCCATTGGGTTTTGATTGAATTATTTTTATTAAGTGCCTTCAAGTCGGTTCCTACTCATAGCAACCCTGTATAGGGTTTTCAAGGAGCAGCTGTTGAGTTTGAACTGCTGACCTTGAGGTTCAGATCGACCTTTTGTTCCTGTGCTTATTCTTACGAATACCCAGGCAGACACTTAACAGGATCATAGAGTGATAGATGGTTATATCGTGACTTCGAAAGAAGTTCAAATATATTTGTAAGTGTGAAAAATATACAGAACAGTATGTATAATATGGCCCACTTATGCCCCTCCCCAATTTACATATTTGTACAGACATTTATAAAATCTGTAACGATCTGGGCCTAGCTGTTCACAATGTCTCCTATAGGAAAATACAATTACAGAGATAGCTTTACTTCTTCTATATCGTGCAAACAGCATTTTTTTTTTTTTTTTTTTTACTACATTCATGTTGTTATTAAGTACTGTAGAGTCTGTTCCAACTCATAACAACCTTGTATAGGGTTTCTGAGGAACAACTGGTGGGTTTGAACTGCCGACCTTGCATTTAGCAGTCCAGTGCTTATCCTACAGCGCCATACCAGGACTCCAACAATCATGTGGTACCAGTGGGGGAAAATGCTCTTCCCATTTTGAAAACTCTGAAGCATTTATTTAAATGTTTTTGAAATTTCTGTTAGTACTAAAAATCACTTGAAATTACTTTCCTTATGGGCAAGCAGTGTAATTGTCATAACATTTTCCTTGAAATTTCATTCTGGCAACAAAATCCTCCATTTATTAACTGAAATAAGACTGTTTTTATACAGATATTTGAGTTCTTGCTTCATCATGCGAACTAATCACTATCAAGTTTGAACTGGTTTCCAGCTATCTGGTTTTGAGTGATTATTAAGTTATTAATAATTTAGAAAAGCTGCATTTAATAATAAAATGAACCATGTTCTTTCATGAATAAAACACGAAGTTTGTGTTGCTGTTGGCTATTTTTGGAAAATATGGCTGTGTTGGTTGTACACATACTGTAGACTAGCAGGTGTGATAACAAAGTTTCTTACTTCTTTGCTATTAATGGGGCAGAGAAGAAAGGGAGAAATTTCACAGCAGCTTTATAGCATTATTATGAATGGAAGCAAACCTATCTGGAGACCTTTTTAAGGTATTTCTGCAATGTAGAGGTCTCCAAAAATGAAGTCGTGTTAGGTGCTGTTGAGTCAACACTTTCTTGTCCTGCACCATCCTCAAAAGTGTTTTGATGCTTGAGCCCACTGCTGCTGCCATCTGCCAGTCTATCTTGTTCTGGGTCTTCTTTGTCGCTTCTTTACCAAACATGACGTCCTTTTCCAGGGACTGGTCTCTCTTGATAACATGTCCAGATATAACAGATGAAGTCTCGCCATCCTTGATTCTATTTTAGCATTCTGGCTGTATTTCTTTCAACATGGATTTGTTTGTTCTGGCAGTCAATGGTACTTTTTTTTTTTAATGTTTTATTGTGAATTATGTGATAGTTTACATGGGAGAACATTAGCTTTCCATTCATCCTATCGTATATCATTTCATTGCTATGGTTACAATCCCCTCCATGCATCATCAACCAACCAAAGGGTATACCCTGTAAGCCTGCCCCCCGGTCATCAGCACACAGCCCCTCTCCCTCTCTGGGTCTATAGTCCCCAGCCGCTCCATCTCTCCACACCATCGTCTCTGCCTCCATCTCTGGTGTCACTACTTCTCTGGGTAGGGTCCCGCTCTCTGCTCTTCTCCCTTGATGGTCCCAGGGACCTCCACTCCTAGACTGCAAAGTCAGTCACTCCCCTCCTTTGCTACAAAACGTCTACCTTTACATTTACAACCCTCACAATCAGTCCTGATAACAATTATTCACTATTGTATCACAAGAGACCTACCCGCATCTCCTTTTATCAGCCTTGCCCAGACAGATCAGATACTACTCAGTGGAGATTCTACCTTCCTCCACACCCTTTAGATCTAGGCTCCTTTTTGAAAGCTTGTAAGCCAGTCACTTCTTGCCTTTGTAGATCCCCTCCCCCCGATTTTGGGTAGCCAGTGTCCAAGTTGCCCATCCCTGTCTACTCTGTGTATGGAGGGGATGGGAATGATCCTCGCTGTAAAGATTTGTTCCCTCTTTTAAGCTACTGCATCCATAGGTGTAGGTCAAGTTCATCAAATTGTATCAGATTATTCTTTTTTTCCTCTTCTTTCTTCTTCTAGTTGAGTTCTGATCATCCAGTCATTGAAGCCAGGTCAAGTGGGTATTATCTGCAAGTGTGGGTGTTCTTGTGCATATGCCCTCTCTTCTTATCAGCTGGACACTTCACTCTCCGCACTAGTCCTCTGTGGCTATGTCACTGACTCTGGGTCCAAGAGTCCCCAGGTCTTGCCCTACTGCTGATCAACCAGGTCTCCACCCAGGTTCACAGGAGTCTACTGAACATTGTAGGGCTTAGCTCTCAGTTTCATTGCTGTTTTTCCCTCACTTCCCCTTATCAGTGATGGACGTGGTCACCAATCAGAATGTGTATTCCCTTTGAGTCTTAGTCTTGGAAGGGGGTTTGCCCTGAGGGGACTGGACCACTTGCCTTGGTGTCTCCTGGGCAAGCAACTTGCTTGTTCTTGTAGTAATCAGTCAGACTGCCGTTACTGTTTTGTATTTTTTCCTGCGGGTCTTTCAAGAAGTATCTTCTGTTCTTATAACTGCTCCAGGCTGGTCTGCGAGTCCTTTCAAGTGGAAATTTCCCATCTCAGAAGATTCTGGATGCAGTTCAGAATTCCACCTATGGTGTTATGTAATGCAGAGGCTCTGCAGGAAGCCTCCTTCACTGGGCATGTTATAGCCACATTTTAGGTATTCCAATCAGTTATCGCTAGAAGACGGACTTACAAGCTTTCTATGGTGATATTTTTGGCTATTCCTTTCTCTCCCCCTCAAGTATCTATTTCATAATGGATGCCAGAGAAACCAAGATTCAAAAGACAGCCAGACATCTTGACATTGTTTCACCCCTTTTGCCCATTCCAACCATGCCTCAATCCCTGTATCCCAGAGCCCTGTTATTCCAAGGTTGTGCATCCATCATTATTTACTTTTGTCCCACTTAGCCCATGCAGACCTGCCTAATTGTTCTCCTATCCACCTTGTTCTTCCATTCCCCTCCCTCTTCTTGTGTATTCCCCCTCCCTAGCACCCAAACTATCCTGTGTCTGTCCCCTGCCCTGTGCTCCACCTTCCCCTCCCTCCTCTCACCCCACCCCCACATCCCGGTAACCAGCAAAGAATCTACCCCTTTAGTATGGGTTCTTTCCCTTAGTCTTTTACAGTAGTGGTCCTATGCAGTATTTTTCCTTTTGTGACTGACTAATTTCACTCAACATAATGTCCTCAAGGTTCATCCATGTTATATGATAGCTTAAAGCTTCCTTGTTGTTCTTCAAGGTAGCATAGTATTCCATCGTGTGTATGTATCAGTTTGTTTATCCATTCTTCAGTTGATGGGCACTTAGGCTGTGTCCATATTTTTGCTAGTATAAATAGTGCTGCTGTGAACATTGGTGTGCATATATCTACTCGTGTTATGGCTCATATTTCTTGTGGGTAAATACCAAGTAGAGGAATTGCTGGATCATAAGGTATTTCTATTTCTAACCTTCTGAGGAAATGCCATATTGCTTTCCGGAGATGTTGGACCATTTTGCAATCCCACCAGCAATGCGAGAGTGTTCCAGTCTCTCCACATCCTTGCCAGCATTTAATCAATGGTATTTTTAACATTCTTCTCCAACACCACAATTCAAATACATCAATTCTTCTGTGGTCTTCTTATTCATTGTCTAACTTTCACATGCATATGAGGCTTGGGTCAGACACATCTTAGTCTGCAAACTGACATCTTTCTTCTTTAACACTTCAAAGAGGCCTTTGCAACAGATTTGCCTAATACAATGTATCTTTTGATTAGCAAGCCATTTGGGTATAGGAAGAAAATATCAGAACTTGAGTTTATTTTTTTCGCATGTTATTTAACAATTCTATTTGTATGTTTTGGATTAAGCATAATAATAGTACAGTAGTCACATATACACTTTTTTTTTTACATATACACTTATATTGTGAATTGAATGATGGTGTACAGAGCAGATCAGCCGTTTCACATTCAACAAATCCTACACTTCGTTTCATCTTGTTGGTTGCAATCCCCTCCATGTAACATCACTCTTCCCACTTCCTCCCTGCGGTTCTTGTTTCCATTCCTCCTTCTTTCCCAACCCTTTTGAACTTTGTCCTGGGTAAATACTGCCCTTTTGATCTCAAATGGTTGATCATTCTATGGTGTGCGTACCTCACTAGTGTTGTTGTCTCCCTACATACCTATCTACTCTTGGCTGAAAATTGAGCTACTGAGGTGAGTTCAGTTCCAGACCTGAAGGTTGAATTAACTAAGGGTCACCATCTCTATCTGACCAGTAAACCTGGTCATTTTTATGTTTTTGAGTTTTGTTCCACATTTTCTCCTACTTTATCCAGGACCTTCTAATGTGATCTCATTCATAGCAGTTGGTCGTGGTAACCAGACACCTTCTAGTTCTTTAATAAACATGCATGCTTTGATAATAAGTATATGCTTAAATAATTTCTACTGATGGGTTGGGAGAGGTTCTGAAAAGAATGGTGACCACTTCCCTTTTCAGTGCCATTTCAACATAATGACTTGGAACAGTTGAGTTATGAACTTCCAGATCAGTCCAGAACATAGGTCCCCGTAGAATGGGGGTGATGGGGAAAGGGTCCGAGAAGTGAGAGAAAACCAGAATCATGGTGAGTGGTGAATAGTCTGTGTTTCAATCACTTTGTACTGTAACTTGGTTTAAGACACAAGCTCAGGGATTGTCCTGTTTTTTACAGAAAACAGAACGGTTCCCTCAGGCCCTAGTTTACTGACTGTCTTCCTGGGAGTGGTGTGCATTGCGGCCCTGATGCTCCCGACGCTGGGGGATGTGGAATCGCTGGTGCCTCTCTACCTCCACTTAAGTGTGAATCAGAAATTAGTGGCTGCTTACATTTTAGGTAAGTGCTTTCAAGCCCTGTTTGGGTGGTAAGCCCAAACCCACTGCCTTCAGGTCGATTCCCACTTGGTTAACATCTTTCCTTTCATTCATCATGGCTTGAAATCTTCTCTAGTGAAACCTATGGGAACTGGAACCCAATGAGACTGCAGTCTTATCACTTTTTTGTTTTGCTATCTGTGGAAAATATTTGCATTTTCTTTCTGTTGACAGGTTTCCGCTTTACACATGTTCTGGCTTTTGCAGGGTTTCGTGTGATTGAATTTGTTCACTTGAACAAACATGTTTTCAGTTATGCTGTGGATAGGCATTAGGCTGCTAAACACAATCTCCTCAGGAGAAAGAGGAGGCTCTCTGCGCCCATAAAGATGTCCAGTCTCAAAAAAAAAAAAAGATGTCCAGTCTCGGAAACCCAATCTAGGGTCGCCAAGAATTGGAATGCACTTGATAACAGTGGATTACCATGGGCCAAAGATGAGGGTTGTGGGGATGCCTGAAATGCTCACTTCCATCTCTCCTTAGCCTCACTTTCTATTCAGCTCTTGGACTCCTGTTCTTTTCTGTGTGGCGCTCTCTGGTTTTCATTTCAAAATGTCTCCTAAATTGTTTCCCTGACTTCTGGCAGTGTCCTTTCTCTTTTCACTCCAACGCCCCCTTCCTTCCCCCCCCCACCCCCCCGCAAACCCATCCCACCAGTGATCCAGTGATTTCCATTCTGTTTTGGTTTCATCACCTCTCTCCCCCCCCCCACCCCCACCCCACTCAGAAACCTGGACTGGGTGGAGGGCAGCCCTGTAGTTTGATATGGAAGAGTCTCTGCTACTGGTGGTGGGCTCTCTGGGCTCTTTTGGTGTAGCTCCTTCCCTGGATAAATCCTTGGTTAGAGCTTTGGAGGGCTCCTCCAGAATTCTGGGCCCACCTCCATATTTCTGTCTCTTGCTATTTCCTCACCCGAAATGCCTGCTCCTCTGCTCTTGGCATTTTCTATAGTCTTCTTCCATCTTTTAAGGCTTCTCTCAGCTTTGACCTCTTTGGGGCATCTTTTCGGACTGCCCAGTCCTAGGTCCATTTTCTTCATCTCTCTTTTAGGACTTGGCATATTTTTTTTTCTTTAATTTTTATTGTGAATTGAGTGAGCGTTTACAAGGGAGAACATCCGTTTTACACTCACCCTATATCGTATTTCATTTCATTGCAATGACTACAATCTCCTCTATGCATCACCATTCAACAGTATTTGCTTCTCTTCCTTCTGGTTTTTTGGTTGTTTTGTTTTTGAGGTACACAGAAACACTCAGGAATATATACTCATTTAAACAACCCAAGGGCGCATTCTGCAAGCCGGCTCCTTGGCCACCAGCTGGGCATATTCTTATAGTATTAGATTTCAATGGTTATATGTATGGAGTCATTTCAGAAGAGAACAGTGAAGCAGGAACACCATCCCTCTGTCTGTGGCCCTCCGGCCCTGGCATATAAATAGGCTCTCAAATGTTTTTGTTGATGAAGTCTGCTGTCTTTACGGACACATTTAAATGGCATGTCTGCTATTATTACAGCTAATGTGACCAGATAAAGTATGAGGTGTATTTGATGGTTAAATTAGTAATGGCCAGACATTAATGGTGTAATGAAATCTACCCAGTGATTGCCCTTTGCTGTAAATTGGATTTCGTCTGTAAAATATCAGCTAAATTCAAATCAACTGTGAGTTCTTAATCAAGTGCCTGTTTATATGCTGTATTTGATTTGCTCATTGAGGTCTAAACAATTGGTTATTGAATGGAAGATCCTGTAAAATCTGTTTCTCTTACTGTTCTTCAATTTGGTTTTCTTTCAGGTCTTATCACAATGGCTATACTTAGAACATGAGCAAAGAGCTCAGCTGATTGCTGGAGTAATTTTATCTTCCAAACATCATGAATGTGGACTACCTTTTATCTCTATTTCACTCCATTAAAATGCTACAAACTATTGAATGATTTAAAAGAATGGCAAATGTGTAATATATATTTTAAACTACTCTTATTATTTTATTGGAAGAATTCCAACACATTATGTTAAAGTCAGCAAGGATGTTTCTGAGTGACTCATGGGACTATTTGAAGAAATTCTTTTTATATCTAGACCTAGTGTGCAAAAGACTTTAATTCAAACATTTGTCACCCTAGCATCTTTTTCTAATTCACTTTGATTGTTAAGATCATGTACCTTTCAATGTTAAAGGCCGAAAAGAGCAAACTGACCCACCTAAAAATAAGAATCGTGTTTATTTCCTAGTTACAAGCATTCATGTTACTATGTAATCTATACCTTGTCCTCTATCAGTAAAGGAACCCTGGTGATGCATTGATTAGAAGTGCCCAGCTGCTAACCAAAAAAGGTTGGTGGTTCAAAACCACCAGCCACTCTGCGGGAGAAACATGTGGTAGTCGGCTTCCAAAAAGATTGTTGTGTTCCACTGAGTTGGTTCTGACTCTTAGCAACCCTCTGTACAACCGATTGAAACAAGAGGTCGGACTCATAGCGACTCTGTGTACAACCTAACGGTCCTGCTCCATCCTCACAATTGTTGCTATGATTGAGCCCATGGTTGCAGCCGCTGCCTCAGTCCATCTCTCTGAGCGCTTTTCTCTGTTCCGCTGACCCGCTCTCTACCAAGCATGATGCCCGTCTCCAGGAACTATCCCTCCTGACAACATGTCCAAAGTTCTAAGGAATATTGTGGCTGTACTTCCTCCAAGACCCACTTGCTCACTCTGACAGTGGTATCTTCAATACTCTTCGCCAGCACCATAATTCAAAGGCATCGATTCTTCTCCAGTCTTCCTTACTCATTTTCCAGCTTTTGTATGCGTTGAAGGCAATTGAAAATACCATGGCTTGGGTCAGGCACACCTTAGTCCTCAAAGTGACGTCTTTGCTTTTTGACACCCTCCGGATTTAGCACTGTAAAGGTAACAGTCTTGGAAACCCTGTGGGGCAGTTCTACCCTGTCTTACAGGGTCGTTATGAGTCAGAATCGAAAACTCTGCCATTGTAAACCATTGCCATAGTGTCGATAGAACAGCAGTTTTGCAGTTAATGTGTAGAGGGTCAAAACAAAGCATAAATAAGGTATCGAGGGATCATACTTATCCGAGGGTTTCATGGAGAACGAGACATAATTAATTGATATGGTGAACTACAGAACACGTTGTGGCCCTGACACCAAGTATGTAGGTGTTTATAAGAACCCAATGGAAACAGGACAACCTCTCTGTTTGGTCTAAGAGTTCTAGAGGAAACTAGGTATTCATTTAGTCATGTTAATGTAGGGAGGAGGGTTCTCTTTTGTCCCCTAGTCCTTTGCCTGACTGACTCTAAGTGGTTTGCCCGAATTGGGATTGTCAGATACTGTGTGGCTTGTGTGGAGATTGTTATCCTTTAAACTCTAAGTCAAGTATAGAAAATGCTTGATAGCTGTCTGTTTTGTATCCATCACTAAGACATTTTTTTTTTAACTTTTTATTTATTTTAAAAAAACAACTTTACCAAAAAGGTCCCTAAGCACAACTATTTACATTTCTTTATAGCCTCTTCTGATCTCTAACATATATATATACATACATATATATGTATGTATATATATATATATATGATGTGTATCTCTCACACACATATATATATATATACAGTTTTAACTTATCATAGTAACTAGTCTTTTGACTTAGGATTTTTATCTGAGAGCACAATGCATTAAGAGTCTCTTGAAAATAATCTTCCAGATCTTTTTACAGAATGAATTTATGCACTGCGACTAATATTCTCAAGGAATATAGAAACACAAAATGTATGCCTGAGGTTGGTTTTTGCAGGAAACTACTTTGCTTCTGAAGAGCTTTTCTGTGTATTGTTTCTTAGGAAATGCTCATTGTTGAACATTTGAGAAGCATAAATCATTAAATGGATCATATCTGTACATTGTGTAATGACTGAAAAGCACATAAATGTAATCAACTTTGAACTTTGTAAAAAAAAAAAAAGTTATGTTTGGAGGCTAGCCTTCCTGTTTCTCTATCCATCTCAAGTCATGTGAGTATGGGTGTGTGAGACAACACACTGTAAAGGACAGAAATTACTTCAAATAAAGAAAATGCAGACTTGAGTTTCCTATTGATTTAAACATTTCATTTGCGTGTTACTACTGAGGAGTTCATAGTTTTAGCTCTCTGGTTTCCAACAGTTGGCTTCTGTTCCCATGAGCTAAGTAGGAAAAATAAAAACAGTGAAGTTGGTGCGCCAGAAATGTCTTGAGATTTTAATTTACCAAAGGGGTTAACTCTTTTTTTTTTTTTAAATGTAAAACTAGGAACTGTGACATGTCTCAAAAAAAGCCCATAGTACACTTCTTTCTCTGGTGCTACGTACAAATGGCAGCATGTTCTGTCCACTGTATTATATGGCCCCTAGCTTTTCTCCAGTCCAGGATCAGTTGCCTCTGTCTTCCTTCTTTTTGTAGCAGCTGCTTAGGCTTTTCTTGTATGGTGGCACTAGAGTTTATTTCACGAGTTCCCTCCTGAACAATCCCTCCAGCCATCCACAAGAGTGTCTCTCCCCAAGCCTCATCTGATCAATAAGAAAGGGTATCACTGTAGTTTTGATTGAGCTCATTGTAAGTGAGGTCCAGCAACTTTTCACAGGGCGATTTATTCATGTCCATGCCCCCTCTTCCCAGCCCTTTTTGTTGTGTGTTTGGTATTTTTCCTGTTGTGTTGTAGGAGTTCTTTGGGATAACGAGCTGCAAATACTTCAGTTTCTCATTTTTCTTCTGACTTGCTTATGGCATTTTTACCACATGAAATTTATTCTGGGGTAGTTGAATTTATGGATCTTCTGTGGTTTCTGGATTTTGAATCTTTGTTAGGAAATTCCAAGGTTATAAGTCACAGCTCTCATAGGTAGGCTCAAAGGCCAGTTAGATATAATAGGAAAAAAGAACCCATTTACAAGAGCAGAACAATTTCAAACCTGATTTTAAAAGTGTCCAAAACCCTTTATAAGGAAACTGAAACACTCCAAGAAATACAAAAGTAAGTTTGAACAGATGGAAAGACACCCTGAGATATTCTTGGATGTGACCCTGAGGTTCAAACTGACCTTGTGGTAGAGCACTTATCCTACAGCGCAACACCAGGGATCCAAGCTAGATATAGATATATTGTATTATTGTTGGGTGCTCTTACGTCAGTTCTGACGCATAGCAATCCTATGCACAACATAATGAATCACTGCCCAGCCCTGAACCCTTCTCACAATTGTTGTTACATTTGAGCCCATTTTTGTTGCTGCTATATCATTCCATCTCATTGAGGGTCTTCATCTTTTTTTCTGACCCATCACTTTTCAATAAATGATGCCCTTTTTCAGAGACTGGTCCTACCTAACAACATATCCAAAGTACGAGGGACAAAGTATTATGGTGATGTTGTCTCAACACCATAAAGATTTGGGAGGGGAGGGTTAGACTACACACAAACCATTCAACACTTCAACAGTTTCTTCATGTCCATTTCAGCGACCACTTTTGTCCATAGCCTTTTCCTATTTCCCCATCACAAACTCCCTGCCACCCTAAGCTTCACATCTAGTTTTTCGAATTGCTGATGTCAATTTGATCACATATAGGGAATTCTATGAAGTATAATGGTAAAACTCGATGGCACCTGACAACAACAACAACAAAGAGTGTTATTGGTGGTGGTGTGCTGTGGAATCGGTTCCAACTCATAGCGACCCGGCATAGGGTTTCCAAGGCTGTAAATCTTTACGGGAGTAGAAAGCCTTATCTATCTTTCTTCACCAGAACGCTGGTAGTTTAAAACTGCTGACCTTGAAGTTACCAGCCCGATTCGTAGCCGCTACACTTTCAGCCTAATTAGAAAAGGATGTCTGCATTTAACAGTATACTATAAAGTAATATCTATATGCGATCAAATTAACATCAGCAATTTGAAAAAAATAGATGCGAAGCTTAGCGTGAGAGGGAATTTATTTAGCAGCCCTGGTGTGGTGCTGTGGGTTTATGCACTAGACTGCAAAGTTGATTTGATCAGTGGTTCAAGCTCACCAGCCACTCCTCAGAAACCCTATACTGATCTGCTATGAGTTGGAACTGACTCGACAGCACTTAAACAACCAGAGTATTTAATCCTGGTGTGGCACTATAGTATAAGCACTGGACTGCTAACTGTAAGGTTGGTGATTCACACTTACCAGCTGCTCTTCAGAAGTCCTATACAACATCACTATGAGTCGGGACTGGTATTATTTGGGTCTAAAATTACTTTAGGGGGATAGCTTCATCACAAGGTTTAAAGACTTCCTCAGGGTGATTGTTTTTTGGGGTCATCAGGCCACTGTGGCTCTAGAAAGTCTGGATTACCTGATAATTTGAAATTGTGTTTCTCATGTTCCTATTTTGATCAGGATGCTAATATAGAATGCTTTTTTTAAATATTCAAGTATGGTAGATAGTCACCTTTCAATTCTCAGGATTGGATAGGGATTCCATTTCCTCTACTAATTCTGGGGTTTCTGCTGATGTTCCCATTAAATAGAGACCAGTTGCACCTCGGATGGCTAAACAAGATTTCACTCTCCCTAAGTTTGAGATATGTGTGGCACTGGAGGCTAATGCGTCAGACTACAGAGCCGTTGAAACTGCAAGGCTGGCGGTTCAAACCCACCAGCTTCTCCTAGGAAACCCTATACAGGGTCACTATGGGTCAGAATCGACTCGGAGGCACTTAACAACAACAACAAGTTAGAGATATGTATTAATAACATTTTTAAGTAAATTTTTTTGGTAACTTTTTAAAATAGAGTCCTGG